TGGCATGTATGCACTTATGCAGCAGTCCTGCAGGATGCAGGATGTGCACGTGTACCCCAGAGCCTAAACTACCATGAAAAAAAAAAAAAAGTAGCTCATCCCTACTCTTACCAACTTTGAGGACTCTGGAAGGTTTCAAGGTGCCAGATTGGGAGCTAATCAACTATTTCAGTTTCCCCATCATACAGATGAGATAATGGTCAGGCAGAAGGCCACATGATAAGCGGTGACAGACTAGAACCTGTCACCAGTTCTGAGCTTTCTCCACTAGAGCAGGGTTATCCAATCTTTTGGCACCCCTGGGCCACATTGAAAGAAGAATTGTCTTGGGCCACACATAAAATGCACTAACACTAACAATACCTGATAAGCTAAAAAAAAAAAAAAATCTCATTAAAAAAAAAATTGTTTATTTTTTGAGATGGAGTTTTGCTCTTGTTGTCCAGGCTGGAGTGCAATGGTGTGATCTCGGCTCACTGCAACCTCTGCCTCCTGGGTTCAAGCAATTCTTCTGCCTTAGCCTCCTGAGTAGCTGGCATTACAGGCATGTGCCGCTACGTCTGGCTAACTTTGTATTTTTAGTAGAGACAGGGTTTCTTTATGTTGGTCAGGCTGGTCTCGAACTCCTGACCTCAGGTAATCTGCCCTCCTTGGCTTTCTAAAGTGCTGGGATTATGGGCATGAGCCACCGCGCCTGGCCTGTGTTTTTGTTATTATGTTTTTTTGAGACAGGGTTTTGCTCTGTAGCCCAGGCTGGAGTGCAGTGGCATGATCTTGGCTCACTGCAACCTCCACCTCCCAGGTTCAAGCAATTCTCATGCCTGGGCCTCCTGAGTATCTGGGAGTACAGGCGTGTGCCATGAGGCCCAGCTAACTTTTTTGTATTTTTAGTAGAGATGGGATTTTGCCATGTTGGCCAGGCTGGTCTTGAACTCCTGACCTCAGGTGATCCGCCTGCCTCAGCCTCCCAAAATGTTGGGATTACAGGCATGAGCTATAGCACCCAGCCCATAATATATATATATGTATGTATATGTGTACACACACATGCATATATACATGTATATACATATATATTTTTTTAACATTCAGCTGTTACCAAAATCTCATGGTGTTTTAAGAAAGTTTATGAGTTTGTGTTGGGCCACATGTGGCCCAGAGGCTGCGGGCTGGACAAGCTGGCACGAGAGCAAGCGGCCAGTTTTTAAAGATGTCTGAGCTTTTGAGGGCTCAAGGGATGAATGCATCACAGATGTACTTGGTTTTGAGGGCTTCCTACATGTCACCCTCGCCTGTGCTTCTCATTCCTCCCCAGATTTTTGGATTCCTGGTTTGCATGGGGGTGATCCTGGCCATTGGCAATGCCATCTGGGAGCACGAGGTGGGGACGCGCTTCCAGGTCTACCTGCCCTGGGATGAGGCAGTGGACAGTGCCTTTTTCTCTGGCTTCCTCTCCTTCTGGTCCTACATCATCATCCTCAACACCGTTGTGCCCATTTCACTCTATGTCAGGTATGTGCGCTCTCTGCCCCGGGGTCTCTCCAGGGAGCCCAGGTGGTCCCATAGCACTTTTCTTCTCTATGAAAATGAAGTCCTTGAGAAGTAACTTGAAGTCCTCTTCTTCCTGTACTGTAAACATTTGATGTTATCTGTTTATCTTTGTGTGCAGAGCAAGCTTTTTACCACAGTTTCCTGGTTCTTGGGACTCTATTAGAGGAAAAATAAAACAAAACTGATTTATTCAGCACCTATTTATTACATGCCTACTGTGTACCAAGAAGTGTGCTCGGTGCCATCACACAAAGATGAATTAGGAATGGATCTCCTTCCTTCTCGGTGCTTACGTCTAGTAAAGGAAGGACAGTCTAAACACATTGTAAAACAAAACAGGAACCAGTGCTGTAGAACTCCACCTAGAGTCTTCTGTGTGAAGCAAGGCGATATAGAGATGTATACGGTGGCCTCTGCCTTCAGCAGCAGGAGATGGACAGGTTGGGGAGGGGAGATCTGGACGTGTCAGATTGAGATACAATGTGGGAAGCACCGGGTGCCAGGGGGCTGGGGAGTGTCGCTCCCTAAGCAGGTGGGCAGGGCGGAAGAGATGGTATGTGCTCTGGGCTTTGAGTGGTGACTGGGGTGGGTGAAGGAGGAGCTGCAAAGGAGAGGAGGAGGAGAGGGCTGGAAGTAAAGGTGTGGAGTTGGGACCCTGGCATCCCTGGGCCACATTGGAATGGCCTATGCAGATAGCCGGCCAGGGGTCTGGGCCCTGAGTGAGAGCTGGAAGCATAGCTTGCTCCTGATTGTGGAGGCTTTTGAATCTTTGCCTGTGGACTTTGTACTTACTAACCATTAAAAGTTTTTGAAGAAAGTCAGAAGACTGTATTCTGAAAATGCATTCCAAGTGTTAACAGCTCTGTTAGAATTTGTCTAGCAGGTTTTCTGGTTTTCACCGAAAGTTCCCCCACCCCCCAAAAAGAAAAAAATGTATTCTAAAAAAAATGTAAAGAATGCTTTAGGAAGTATTGACTGGCAGTGGTGTACAGCATGCATAGGATCGAGGAGACATGTAGGTTGTTGGAGGTGAAGAGAATGTTAGCAGGGAGCAGGCCAGTGAGAATGGAGGGGAGGAGGAGGAAGAGGAGGTGGGAAGAATGGCCAGGGGAAAGGAACTTTGCTTGCTTAGTGCCTTGTACTCGAGATAAGGGAAACTGACATTTTTAAGGAAATGTCTTTTGGAGGTGCTGAAAACTCACCCTGTCTCCCAGTCTTTGGTTCTTATAGATTCCCCAAATAGCCCTCAGCTCTCTCCCGGCCCCCCAGGTCTTACTGCTGGTGACAATAAATAGAAGATAACAGCATTTCTGTGCTGAGGGAGTACAGTTTCGACTTTTCCCGAGCCGGAAGGTTCTGGGCTTAGTCCTGCCTCTTCACTGGCCATGTGACCCCAGGAAAATCCACAGTCACTCAGGGCCTCACTTGATCTCAGTCTTCCCATGTAAACAGGAACAGTAGTGCTTGTGTCACCTTTGAATAGGATGTCTTGATGTAAGATGCTGGATTAGAAGATAGATTTTAAACCTAAATGACTTTACAGTTATTGGGTGGTAGCCTGCTCATTGTGACTATTGCCACCTCCTCTGCATTACTATTTTAATGTCTTTGCTTGCAGCCTAATTTTGTTTTCCCACCCATGGGCTTTGCTCTCTGTGTTTTGTATCTCAGTTCACTTGAAGCCCTTGGGAGCTGCTAAAGCAGTTTTCTTTCTGAGTCTCATCAGGTCACGGTGTGTACGTTTGGGGGAGGCTGAGAGTGAGTTGGAGAGCTGCGTGAGGAAAAGGCTCTTTGGAATGTGAAGACATTCCCAGTGTCTGAGTTTTTGCCTGGTAGTGGGATCCTGATAGGAGCCTTGGTCAGGTGGGAAGCAGGGCTCCAGGTATGGCCCCATTGCTCAGCTGCACTGGACCAAAACACAGCCCTTTCTGGAAACGCTAACAGAACATATCCCAAAGGTGATGATTAGCAAAGAAGAGGATATGATTCTTCCGCCTCAGCCTCCCGAGTAGCTGGGACTATAGGCACGTGCCAAAGGCCTGGCTAATTTTTGTATTTTTAGTAGAGATGGGGTTTCACCATGTTGGCCAGGATGGTCTCGACCTCTTGACCTCGCAATCCACCCGCCTTGGCCTCCCAAAGTGCTGGGATTACAGGCGTGAGCCACCACGCCCGGCCGGAAGAATTGCTTGAACCCAGGAGGTGGAGGTGGCAGTGAGCCGAGACTATGCCACTGGGCTCCAGCCTCGTGACAGAGCAAGACTCCATCTCAAATAAATAAATCAATAAATAAAAATAAAAATAAAGAGGATATGAACAGACCTGGAGATGTTAAAGGCACTATATTGGCCGGGCATGGTGGCCGTCACCTGTAATCCCAGCACTTTGGGAGGTGAAGGCGGGAGGATCTCTTGAGTTCAGGAATTCAAGACCAGTGTGGGCAACACAGCGAGACCCCATCTCTACAAAGAATGAAAATTAGCCAGGTGTGGTGGCATGCACCTGTAGTCCCAGTTACTGGGGAGGCTGAGGTGGGAGGATCGCTTGAGCCCAGGAGTTTGAGGCTTCAGTGAGCTGTGATTGTGCCACTGCACTCCAGCTTGGGTGACAGAGACGCTAGCTCAAAAAACAAATGAGCACAGCCACCACAAAGCGCTGTACCGTTGTGAAGTGGGGCCGTTCCACAGAGGCCCAGGGCCCTCTCCTTCTGCACTCAGCGCCTCAGCCCTGCCCCGTGTTCAGAATCAGGGATGTAGAGTCCTGAGCCCAGAGTGGAAGGAGCGCACTCCGCCCGTGTGGGGCAGTGAGGAGCGGGCTTCGGGCCACCTCCACGTCCCCTCCCCGGCGCGGCCCCTCTTTGAGGTGGCGTCTGTGTAGCTGTGGCATGCACAGCACCCTCATTATTTCTCTCTCTTTTTTCTCTCTCCCTTTCCTCTGGCACTTTCTCTTGTTTTTCTCTGCATGGTTTCTGTATTATTAGTCCTGAGGTAAGAACTGGCTGAGTGCCTTGTCTACAGCCCCTTTTCCTCCTTTGCTGTCTGTCCTGCCCGCCCAGGCCCTTTGCACCTTCTTGTCTGGAGAGCGTCAGGAGGGTCGGGTCGGGGCGTTCCTCTGCTGGCTGTGTGTGGCCGGCTCCACCTTCAGGCTCTCCTTGCCCTTTCCCACCCAGGTTCCTGTGCCCAGGTGTCTTCTCCGTTCTCGTCTCTCCCTAGGCGGAGGGCCTGCAGCGAAGGCCCATGTGGGTGGGGCACCTCCTCCCCTTCTCGACCCAAGCCTCACCTCCTGTCCCCTGTGCAGTGTGGAGGTCATCCGTCTGGGCCACAGCTACTTCATCAATTGGGATAAGAAGATGTTCTGCATGAAGAAGCGGACGCCTGCAGAAGCCCGCACCACCACGCTAAACGAGGAGCTGGGCCAGGTGGAGTACATCTTCTCCGACAAGACGGGCACCCTCACCCAGAACATCATGGTCTTCAACAAGTGCTCCATCTATGGCCGTAGCTATGGTACGGTGGCACCACTGGGGCTGGGGCTTGCACCCTGCCTGGAAGGACAGTGGAACTGGGGCCCCACAGTTTCCTTAACATGGGGTTTTTCTTCCTTCCTATTTGGGTCTGAGGGGCCTCAAAAGGGTCCATCCTGGCCAGGCACAACGGCTCATGCCTGTAGTCCTAGAACTTGGGGGGCCGAAGTGGGAGGATCACTTAGGATTGCTTGAGCACAGGAGTGTGAGACCAGCCTGGGCAATGTTGTGAGACCCCATCCCTACTAAAAAATTTCTTTCTTTTTTTTTCTTTTATTTCCACCAAAGCAGAACAAAAATTTTAAAATGAGCCAGGTGTGGTGGCGTGCACCTGTGGTCTCAGCTGGCCAGTGACTCAGGAGGCTGAGGTGCGAGGATCACTTGAGCTCAGGAGGTCAAGGCTGCAGTGAGCTGTGATCCTGCCACTGCACTCCAGCCTGGGTGACAGAGTGAGACCCTGTCTCTTGAGAAAAATTCACACACAAAGAAGAGGTCCATTCTGTGTCCCATGCCAGGAAGCAGATCCTGGCTGGGCGCAGTGGCTCACGCCTGTAATCCCAGCACTTTGGGAGGCCGAGGAGGGTGGATCACCTGAGGTCAGGAGTTTGAGACCAGACTGGCCAACATGATGAAACCCTGTCTCTACTAAAAATACAAAAATTTGAGACCAGACTGGCCAACATGATGAAACCCTGTCTCTACTAAAAATACTAAAAATACAAAAAGCTGGGTGTGGTGGCAGGTGCCTGTAATCCCAGCTACTCTGGGTGGGGGCTGAGGCAGGAGAATCACTCAAACCCAGGAGGCGGAGGTTGCAGTGAGCTGAGATTGCACCATTGCACTCCAGCCTGGGCGGCAAGAGTGAAACTCTGTTTCAAAAAAAAAAAAAAACCGATTCTGAGAGTCCTCCCCTGATGCCCGAACCCTGGTCTTAGCTCCAGGTGATAGGGGAGTTCCTTAGCTGTTTGAAGTGAGACACTGGCCTCTGGGCATCCTGGCCAAGTGGAACCCTGCTAGAGTCTCCCCCGTTGCTGCTCACGGTCCTTGTGAGTCTGTGGAATGTGGCTGTGGTTGGCCTTCCCAGTGTGGCCCTGCTTCAGTGGCCTGTGGCTGTGCTGCTGGGATGGCCTGGGGCAGCATGTGGGGCCGACTTCTGTGCAGAGTGTGGACACGGCTTGTAACTGCTTTCTGTACTGTCCCAGGCCTTTCAGCCAGTGTCTGTTGCACGGGTCTAATGGGTGTGTAAGGAGGCCTGGGAGGTGTAGAATTGGAGCTGCCCTGGGGGAGTGCCATCTCAGGGTGGAGACAGGGATGGTGAGCAGTGGGTGCAGGGCTCTTTCATGACCAGGTCTAGGGGTTCTGGGGTGTGGGGTGCCTGCTGTCTCCTGTCCCTCAAGTCAGCAGTGTGACTGAATGACTGACACTGTGACAGCTGCTCCGTGATTAGGGTTGAGGGGCTCCGTGCCTGCAGGGGTTCTGCATTGGAGGCATCTTTCCGTGCTCTGGAGCTCTCCGGCTCTGACATTGCTTTTTCTGCCCTGGCTGTGTGTAGGTGATGTGTTTGATGTCCTGGGACACAAAGCTGAATTGGGAGAGGTAAGATTCAGTCTCTCTAATTCTATGTGCCAGTGAAACAGGGTGTCTGGCCAGTAACAGTTAGTGTAGTCAGGAGTGATGTGTGGTCTGGATAAGAAGTGGAAGATGCTTGGAGAAATGGGTATTTTAAGGCAGAATGGGTGATGGAAGTAGAAATTTTGAGGTCCACAATGGACAGGATCCTACTCTACTGAGAGTTGGGAGGGCAGGGACGAACTCTTCCCCAGGGTGCAGCCTGGTGCCCCAGCCTTTCCTAAGAGCCTTCTTACCTGTTCCAGAAGCCAGAACCTGTTGACTTCTCCTTCAATCCTCTGGCTGACAAGAAGTTCTTATTTTGGGACCCCAGCCTCCTGGAGGCTGTCAAGATCGGGGACCCCCATACGCATGAGTTCTTCCGCCTCCTTTCCCTGTGCCATACTGTCATGTCGGAAGAAAAGAATGAAGGTGGGCTGAGGAGCCGGCTGGCGCCCTCCTGACCCGACTTGCGCCCTTGGGCTCTGCTCTGCTCTGCTCTGCAACGCAGCTGGGCTGGGGCTTCCTGGGCGGGGCACGTGGCTGAGAGAGGCCACTCATACCACATGTATTCTTCCTCCCCACCTAGGAGAGCTGTACTACAAAGCTCAATCCCCAGATGAGGGGGCCCTGGTCACTGCAGCCAGGAACTTTGGTTTTGTATTCCGCTCTCGCACCCCCAAAACGATCACCGTCCATGAGATGGGCACAGCCATCACCTACCAGCTGCTGGCCATCCTGGACTTCAACAACATCCGCAAGCGGATGTCAGTCATAGGTGAGGCCAGGACCAGGGTGTTGGGGCGTGTAGGGACAGCGTTCAGGCCTGGAATGGGAGAATTGTGCCAGGTGACTCTTGACGTGTTTAGGTTGGGAGTCATGGCCTGTCTGAATGTTTCTGCTGCATTCATAGTGCGGAATCCAGAGGGGAAGATCCGACTCTACTGCAAAGGGGCTGACACTATCCTACTCGACAGACTGCACCACTCCACTCAGGAGCTGCTCAGCACCACCGTGGACCACCTTAATGTGGGTGTGAGGAGAGGGGGGGCCCGCCTGGGGGTTCTGCTCCTCTTAGTTTTGTTTTATTGTATACATTTAAGGTATACAACATGATGTTTTGATGTGTATATATGGCGATGTGATTACTACAGTCAGGCAAGTTAACACATCAGCCAGCTCCCATAGTGACTTCTTTTCGTGTGTGTGGAGACAGTCCCTGAAGTCTACACTGTTAGGACACATCCAGGCTACAGTGCAGATGGTTGACTGTCATCCTCACACTGTCAATTAGCTCTCCACACTTACCAGGTGTGCCCCTCCACTCTGCCTCCAGGAGTACGCAGGGGAAGGGCTGAGGACCCTGGTGCTGGCCTACAGGGATCTGGATGAAGAATACTATGAGGAGTGGGCTGAGCGACGCCTCCAGGCCAGCCTGGCCCAGGACAGCCGGGAGGACAGGCTGGCTAGCATCTACGAGGAGGTGGAGAACAACATGATGGTACGGGCTGTGGGACGGGCCAAGGGTGGGCACGGAGGGCTCATGCCTGCGACTCTTGTGCCAGGAACCCTTGTGGTATTTTCAGCTCCTGGGTGCAACGGCCATTGAGGACAAGCTTCAGCAAGGGGTCCCGGAGACCATTGCCCTCCTGACGCTGGCCAACATCAAGATTTGGGTGCTAACCGGAGACAAGCAAGGTGAGACCCCAGCAGGGCAGGGGCAGTTGCAACTGACAGTAGCCCCATTGGACCCTTGCATGGAGCTGAGGACATCAGGCAGGCGAGTGTGCTGACCTTGGGTGCCTGTCCGTAGCTCCTGCGTTCTCTCTTGGTAGAGACGGCTGTGAACATTGGCTATTCCTGCAAGATGCTGACGGACGACATGACCGAGGTGTTCATAGTCACTGGCCATACTGTCCTGGAGGTGCGGGAGGAGCTCAGGTAAACAAGAATCAAGGGAGGTGGTGCTCTGCATTGTGTCCAGGGCTCAGGAGGGGGTTTCTGGACCCTGTTTAGGTTTGAATCCCTGCTTCCCACTGCTGTCCTGGAAGACCACAGCCGTATCATTTCTGCTTCGACAGGAAAGCCCGGGAGAAGATGATGGACTCATCCCGCTCCGTAGGCAACGGCTTCACCTACCAGGAGAAGCTTTCTTCTTCCAAGCTAACTTCTGTCCTGGAGGCCGTTGCTGGGGAGTACGCCCTGGTCATCAATGGTCACAGCCTGGTAGGTCACAGCCATCGCTATCCTTAGCTTGGGCAGTATCTTTCCAGGGAGTACTTCTGTCCCATGACTTTTATATCTTGTTCTAATTTCACCTGATTTTGGAGAAGGCTCTGGTCTCAAAGGGGATGGGGAGGAGCTGAGAGTCCCAGGTGTCTTCTGGGAAGACTGGCTCTCTCAGCCTTCCCTGTGCTCCAGGCCCACGCGCTGGAGGCGGACATGGAGCTGGAGTTTCTGGAGACAGCGTGTGCCTGCAAAGCTGTCATCTGCTGCCGCGTGACCCCCTTGCAGAAGGCACAGGTGGTGGAACTGGTCAAGAAGTACAAGAAGGCTGTGACGCTTGCCATTGGAGATGGAGCCAATGATGTCAGCATGATCAAAAGTGAGTGTGGACTCTGCAAGTGTGCAGGCTGGGCATGAGGCTGGGGAGGGGCCCACTGAGTCTCTGGACTGGAGAAGAATGATGGGAAGGGGCTTGTAACTTGGTGGGCTCTCAAGTGTGTGGCCATCTTCATCCTCTTGTCATCTCTTGTCTCTGCAGCGGCTCACATTGGTGTGGGCATCAGTGGGCAGGAAGGGATCCAGGCTGTCCTGGCCTCCGATTACTCCTTCTCCCAGTTCAAGTTCCTGCAGCGCCTCCTGCTGGTGCATGGGCGCTGGTCCTACCTGAGAATGTGCAAGTTTCTTTGCTATTTCTTCTACAAAAACTTTGCTTTCACCATGGTCCACTTCTGGTTTGGCTTCTTCTGCGGCTTCTCAGCCCAGGTAATAAATGTTTTCAGTCCACTGTAGTGCAAATCTGTAAACCTCAGGGCAGAGGTTCTGTCATGTTTATCACTCAGTCCCCCAGGGCCTAGCTATTTTCTGGTACATACTCTTAAAAAGTGCTTAGTAGGCTGGGCGCAGTGGCTCAGGCCTGTAATTGCAACCTTTGGGAGGCTGAGGCATGTGGATCACCTGAGGTCAGGAGTTCAAGACCAGCCTGACCAACATGGAGGAACCCTGTCTCTATTAAAAATCCAAAATTGGTCCGTGCGACAGGCACATAGCCTGCTGGGGCTGGCGGCGACCCTGGGCCCAGGTTTCCGTGGCTACCGGGCGCCCCCGCCCCCGCGCCGCAGGCCAGGACCCTGGTGGCCAGACCGCGAGGACCTCCTGACCCCGCGATGGCAGCTGAGGCCGCGCTATGCAGCTAAGCAGTTCGTGCGTTATGGCGCTGCCTCCGGGGTAGACCCCAGTTCTCTATGGCTGTCGATGGAGCAGCTGCGGGAGCTGGAGGCCAAGGAGCGTGAATGGTCCCAAGCTTGGTGACCATGCAGGAATCGCTGCGGGTGAAGCAGCTGGCCGAAGAGCAGAAGCGTCAGGAGAGGGAGCAGCACATCGCAGAGTGCATGGCCAAGATGCCAAAGATGTTTGAGAAATGGTGGCAGCAGCAGCGGGAGCGCAGGGAGAAGGGAGAGGCTGACAAGGAGAGGAGGGCCCGCCTGCAGGCTGAGGCCCAGGAGCGCCTGGGCTACCAAGTGGACCCAAGGAGCACCCGCTTCCAGGAGCCGCTCCAGGACCTATAGAAGAAGAAGCACAAACGTCTCAAGGAGGAAAAACAAAGAAGAAGGAGGCGCGAGCTGCTGCAATGGTTGTGACAGCAGCCCAGGACCCAGCAGCCTCTGGGACACCCAGCTCCTGAGCCTTTGTCCTTTCCCAATAAAAGCCTGCTCCCTGGCAAAAAAAAAAAAAAATTCAAAATTAGCCAGGCGTGGTGACACATTATAATCCTAGCTACTCGGGAGGCTGAGGCAGAAGAATCAACCCAGGAGGCAGAGGTTGCAGTGAGCCAAAATCGTGTCATTGCGCTCCAGCCTGGGCAACAAGAGTGAAACTCCATCTCAAAAAAAAAAAAAAGTGCCGGGCACGGTGGCTCACACCTGTAATTCCAGCACTTTGGGAGGCCAAGGCAGGCAGATTGCTTGAGGCCAGGAATTCGAGACTAGCCTGGCCAACATGGTGAAACTCCGTCTACTGAAAATACAAAAATTAGCCGGGCATGGTGATGCGTGCCTGCAATCTCAGCTCCTCAGGAAGCTGAGGCAGGAGAATTGCTTGAACCCGGGTGGCAGAGGTTACAATGAGCCAAGATCGCGCCATTGCACTCCAGCCTGGGTGACACAACAGGACTCCGTCTCAAAAAAAAAAAAAAAAAAAAAAAAAATGCTTATTAAAGGAGGAGAAAAGGAGTCTGAAAAAATTTCTTAGTGTTCTCTATATGTGACATCAGCCGTCTTCCTGTGCCTGACGTGTAGCAAAGAAAGGTTGCATGCTCCCTTGCTCCCTGTTCTCTTCCAGACCGTCTATGACCAGTATTTCATCACCCTGTATAACATCGTGTACACCTCCCTGCCAGTCCTGGCTATGGGGGTCTTTGATCAGGTATGGGGGAATTTGATGATCAGACGGGATGCGGGGAAGGTCACTGTTTGAAGGAGTCACATAGACGTGGCGTGTGATACATGTGCCCATTGCCTGTGGCCACTGGGAAGGCAGTTCTTTCAGCTGGGGAGGGTGTGGCTGGTTCTCCCTCCTGGCTGCAGCTGATCTAGAACTCTCCTGGGTTGCTGAACTCAGTTAGACTGCGGGTAGCTGACTTGAGGTTGGTTGTCGCTGCCAAAGACTTTGGAAAGGAGGAGGCAGGGACAGAGTCTGCCCTTGACCATCCTGAGTCAAAACGGTAGCCTCTGAGGCACCCCCATCCTGTGTGATCCTCCCACACAGGATGTCCCCGAGCAGCGGAGCATGGAGTACCCTAAGCTGTATGAGCCGGGCCAGCTGAACCTTCTCTTCAACAAGCGGGAGTTCTTCATCTGCATCGCCCAGGGCATCTACACCTCCGTGCTCATGTTCTTCATTCCCTACGGGGTGTTCGCCGAGGCCACCCGGGATGATGGCACCCAGCTGGCTGACTACCAGTCCTTTGCAGTCACTGTGGCCACATCGCTGGTCATCGTGGTTAGTGTGCAGGTATGAGGCCATCCAGGAACTCCCCTCTTCTCTGGAAGGAGTGAGCTTTCTGTCCCTGGGGCTGCCCTCGGCACCACAGTTCTGTTTCAGGGGGAAGGGGTTTTTGAGGGGTGCGCCTGCTTGACTTTGCCTACTTTCTGCAGATTGGGCTGGACACAGGCTACTGGACGGCCATCAACCACTTCTTCATCTGGGGCAGCCTTGCTGTTTACTTTGCCATCCTCTTTGCCATGCACAGCAATGGGCTCTTCGACATGTTTCCCAACCAGTTCCGGTTTGTGGGTAAGTCCCTGTGGCCTCCTTGAATCCGTGAGGAATCACAGCTGTTCTGGGACTAGCAGGGCGGTCAGCCAGTCTGCACATTCGACATTCCTTATGTGCCAAATATTCAGTGAGGGGCTGAGGGGATATTAAGTTCTGTCTGACCCAGGCCTTGCCCCTAAAGAGCTTCCATATCCATGAAAGTGAAGAGCATCCCTGCCAGACCACGGGAGTTGCTTTGGTGCGGTAGCCAAGGACAGTTCCAGAGAGGGGGCTGCTGTGAGCAGAGAAAGGAGTGGGGAGTCAGATTCCAAGCTGGAGAACTGGAGGTGTTTGTAGGGAATGGAGAGTGCTCCAGCTAGAATGGGCAAGAACCCTCATTGAGAAACAGTGGGAGAGAGGCTGGAAACGTAGAGCACTTAAGGTGTCAGGATTGCATTCAACTTGCTGGGAGACTTGATTCATTTCTTTAGAGGAAGAGAAGGGAGCAGCATCAAAAGATGGCCTGAGAAAGATGAAGCTGGCACTGATGTCCAGCAAGGAAGTTACCAGGGTGACCAGGTGTGAAGTGGTTCAGAATTGGTGCCAGGGTGGCCGTGGTGGGTGGCAAAGAGGCGGGAGGTATGAAGTGAAGGAAGCATTTACAAGTCTTGGCATTTGCTTCAGATCTGTTTGTTCATTTATCACACAAGCATTTTATAGCACCTAGCGTGTGACCCATTATTCTGAATGCCCGGGAGGCTGCAGTTAACCAACAGGTGAAGCAGTCGCCTTCCTGGATTTTATATATGAGAGACAGATAATTTATTGTAGCGGGAAATTAGAGATTTGGAGAGACCAATGGGGTTGCAGGAAGATTTTATTTATCATGATCATGGGCTTAGCAGAATTGCTTTTTAATTTTGTGCAAAGGACAAAGAAAATGGGGTGCTTTTTATGCACCTGGGTGGTACAGGATGATGAAGCAGAAAGCAAGTTTACAGAAGCCAGAACAGAGAGCAGTTAACTTGTGACATATTTTGTGATGTACTTTACATTTGAAAAATAACATTTTGAGAAACGCATTTTGCAATTTTGAGTTTATTTGCTCTGTGACCTTGTAGCTGGTTAGCAAGAAAACCAGGAATTTTTAGATGCGCCTTGGAACTTTGCCAAGAATGTGGGGCGGATAAATAAGGTTTTAATGGTTTGCAGGAAGGCAGTTATTCCACCTTAAACAGAGCTGGGGAGGTATTGTGTTAAACAGCACACAACGCAGTAAAATTTACTTTACTATAAAACCACTATAAATTATAAAGTTTTGTTTTATTGCTATAAAGTTTTTTTTTATTACAAGTGAACAGATATAATGTCTGGAACTAATAAGTCCTTTAAGAAACATTAAGTAGGCTAGAGAGTGACAAGCATTGTCAGCAAAGACCTCTTGAGGAAGGGACATTGGCACAGATAAATCTTTTTTTTTTTTTGAGGCGGAGTCTTACTCTGTCGCCAGGCTGGAATGCAGTGGCATGATCTTGGCTCACTGCAACCTCCGCCTCCCAGGTTCAAGTAATTCTTCTGCCTCAGCCTCCCGAGTAGCACCTGCCACCACGCTTGGCTCATTTTTGTATTTTTAGTAGAGATGGGGTTTCACTATGTTGGCCAGGCTGGCCTTGAACCCCTGACCTCAGGTGATCCACCTGCCTCGGCCTCCCAAAGTGCTGGAATTATTGGTGTGAGCCACCATGCCTGGCCAGCACAGAGAAATCTGAATAAAGGGAAAAGGAGCATGCCACGTGGCTCTCTGGGAACTGTCAATCCAGGAAGAGGAAACAGCAATATAAAGGCCTTCAGCTGGGGCTTGGGAGGAAGTCTTCTGCAAGTGGAGCTGGAGAGGAGTGGAGGAAATGAGTTGGTGGGGGAATGGGGAATCAGTCCAGATTATTTAAGCCCTTATGGATCAGAGGAAGAACTTTGAATTTTCAAATTTTAATCTAAATGTGAGCAGAAATCATTGGAGGGTTTTGAGCAGGGAACTACCATAGCTTACTTATGTTTTTAAAGGGCCACTCTTCACAGTTTTGTGGATAATAAAGTGTAGGGGGCAAGGGTGGAAATGGGGAGACCGGTTAGGAGGTGAGAGCAATCACCAGGTGAGAATAATCAGGGCTTGGAATAGAGTAAAAGGCTGTGGGATTCCAGAGATGCTTTGAAAATGGAACCAACAGATTGAATGTGGGATCCAAAGAAGAGAGGAAAATGAATCAAGATTTTAAAAAACCCTAAAAAACAGAAATTAAAGGCCGGGCGCGGTGGCTCACACCTGTAATCCCAGCACTTTGGGAGGCCGAGGCGGGTGGATCACGAGGTCAAGAGATCGAGACCATCCTGGTCAACATGGTGAAACCCCCGTCTCTACTAAAAATACAAAAATTAGCTGGGCATGGTGGCGCACGCCTGTAGTCCCAGCTACTCGGGAGGCTGAGGCAGGAGAATTGCTTGAACCCAGGAGGCGGAGGTTGCGGTGAGCCGAGATCGCGCCATTGCACTCCAGCCTGGGTAACAAGAGCAAAACTCCGTCACAAAAAAAAAAAAAAAAAAAAAAACAAAACAAAAAAACAGAAATTAAACTTTTATTTTTTAAAAGAAATGAATCAAGATCCATTGCAGGATTTTTAGTGGGAGCAACTGAATGGGTTGTGGCATTTCCTGAGCTGGGAAAGACCCAGACCAGATTTTGGGGAAGGAAACAATAGTTCAGTTTTGGCCACGGGAAATTCGAGATGCCCGTTAGATGTTCTACAGGGACGTCAAGTCCAGCACTTGAAGCAGCAGGTCTGGAGCTTTGCGGGAGTTGGGAACTAAATTTGGAGATCTACATTTGGAGGGTGGGCCTGGAGAAGTGGGAAGCCCGAGGGGACTTAGGCTTGGAGAGTGGGAAAGTGGAGCTGCCAGAAATGGGAATGGAGAAGATCCGCATTGTGACTCCCGAAGCCACCAACTCCTCTCCGTCCCCAGGGAATGCCCAGAACACCTTGGCCCAGCCCACGGTGTGGCTGACCATCGTGCTGACCACGGTCGTCTGCATTATGCCTGTGGTTGCCTTTCGATTCCTCAGGCTCAATCTGAAGCCAGATCTCTCCGACACGGTGAGAAGCCGGGTTTCCCGCTGTGGGAGGCAGCGATGGGAGGTCCAGAAAGGCCCCTGGCCTGAACACTGGTGGGGCTCAGCAGGGCCGTGTGACTGCTCAGTGTGTTGGTGCTTATCTCCTCTCCCTGTGGACAGACGCCCTGTGCAGATGGCTGCGGAGGCCTCCACACTAGCCTGGTTCCCGGTGCTCAGGGTCCCTTCTCCTTGGTGATGTCTGACATCTCCACGCTGACAGAGGGCTCTTCCCTATGCCCCTCTGCAGGTCCGCTACACCCAGCTGGTGAGGAAGAAGCAGAAGGCCCAGCACCGCTGCATGCGGCGGGCTGGCCGCACAGGCTCCCGGCGCTCCGGCTACGCCTTCTCCCACCAGGAGGGCTTTGGGGAGCTCATCATGTCCGGCAAGAACATGCGGCTGAGCTCCCTCGCGCTCTCCAGCTTCACCACCCGCTCCAGCTCCAGCTGGATTGAGAGCCTGCGCAGGAAGAAGAGTGACAGCGCCAGTAGCCCCAGTGGCGGTGCCGACAAGCCCCTCAAGGGCTGAAGGTGGAGGATGGATGCCCTGTGCCAGTGACCAGAGCACCCAGGGCTGGCCAGCCACTGACGGAGCAGCGTCTCGGAAGTGCTGGTCCTCACTCCTTGCCTCCCGTCCTCCCTGGTAGACTCTGTCCTGCTGGTCCCGCCACGCGTGGCTGGGGCATCCATCCCCAGCTGCAGGCCCTTCCACCAGCTGGGGAGCTAGAGGGAGCAGGCCCAAGGGCAGAGCAGAGGCTGAGGCACGGGGAGCCAGCCCCGGTCGGGGACCAGATGTGGAACCAAAAACAAGAAAAAACTGTGAGAGATTGCGTCTGCCCCTGCCCTGCCTGGGACCCACAGGGAGACTATAATCTCCTTATTTTTTTACTCCTACTCCCCAGAGGGGCCCTAGCGCCCCTGTTCCTGAATTACACAAGAATGTACCATGCCGGGAAGCCAGAGACCTGCGGGGGCCTTGGCCCCTCACATCGTGTATGTCTCTCCTTGATTTGTGTTGTGTCCAGTTTGGTTTTGTCTTTTTTATTTGGCAAGTGGAGGAGGCCTTTATGTGACTTTTATGTTGTGGTTGGTGTCTTAACCCTCCTGGGAAGAGGAGGCTGGCACACACTGGGATGCTGCAGCCTGGCGGGCTGTGGGGTGGTTCGGGAGGATCTGCCTCAGCTCTCTGCAGTGCTCTGTGGGACGGAGGAGCTGACCAGGGAGGGAGGTGCCCGTCAGCAGAGGGTGGTGGGAAGGGCAAAGGAGGGTTTGGTCCTGTCTCCTTCCTCACCTTGAGAGTACAGTGCTGCCCTGTGCCCCCAACACACACGTATCAGTTCCTGGGTTCCTTAGTCCTGCTGGCCTTGGGCTGGAGCCTGGGAAAGTAGCCCCCAAATCCTTAGTGAGCTAAACCTGGGTCTGAAATTTGGTCGGTGGGGAGGGGCAGTTTTCTTTAATATTAAATTTAAAGCCAAGTTTATTGGCAGACTCCCTTTTAACCTCCCTTTGACTCCCCCTCTGGTGCTTTCTTGCACCTAAACCCCAGGGCCCTGCGCCTGAGATGAGACTGGAAGGGAATTGGCCTTTCTTCTCCCTTCTCCCAGAAGCAAGGAGCCCCGCCCCTCAGGCCCAGCATCTGGCAAGAGGTGGTGGAGTCCTTGTACTGGGTGGTAGGGGAGGAGAAGGGCACAGCCAGGCCCAGGCCAGCACCTGGCTTGGTCTGGATGGGACACAGTAAGAGTCCGGCCACAGCCTGTCCTTTACATCGTCCACACCTATGAAGCTATTCCCTAAATAAGGCGTTTCCCAAGTTAGTCGCTACCTAATCAGCCTTGAGAAGAATCCTTTCCTCTTTTTTTGGTAGTGGGTCAGGGGATACTTCAGGAATGGTGTGGAGCTGGGAGTGGGTAGGGGGATTTTAAATGTTCCATGTGGGAGCCCCAAAGGAGCTGGAGGGGCAGCAGTGAGGTGGGGATGGGGGGGCAGGGAGTGGGAGAGGGAAGTCTTGGCAGGGAAATCCCTTTTGGCCGCACAGTTTACAAACCCAGTATCATGTCTGTCTGTGTGTCTCTCAAGGTGAGAGTCTGATTTTTATACCAAAGAGGAAATGATTTTTTTTCATATTTTGTTTGTCTATATTATATAAATATATATATATACAGTTATATATATATATATATATTATTTTTTGGTTCTCTCTCGTTTTTTAGGGAGGGAAGAAAGTACCAAGTTGCATTGAGCTGTAATTAAGGAACATTATAATTTATGACACATTTCTATACTTGCAAAAATTATATCATTTTATGGATATAAGAGAAAATGCCTTTTTATAAAATTTCAATTTCTGAGAAGTGTGTCATTTGTCTCTTTTCTGGTGTTTAACCAAGACTGGTGGTGAAAGAAGAGACAGAAACTGTCTCTTAAGTGTTGACTGGGTAGATCTGGGATATCACGGACAAATTGGAGTCTGACTAGTGGGGAGCCGTACCTTGCCCATTTGCAGACCTCCTGGGATCTGAGTCTCATCTGAAGATGAAGATGGGCTACTGGGTGGTACTGAGGCAGATCATGGGACTTTGGCTGGGTGCCTAAGACCTTGAACTGTTCACTTCTCCAAACACAGGTCATTCTCTCGTCCCTAACACACGCCAGATGGGGGTGTGTAAGGAAAGTACCTGGTACTCGTTTTAACATTTTTTATTTTATTTAACTCCCCGCTTTTCCCTGTGCCTCACATCTTCCTGGCTTCTCACATGAGTGTCAAGGAAGCTAAGTCATACATACTTTTTTTTTTTTTTTTTGAGATGGAGTCTCGTCGTGTCCCCAGGCTGGAGTATGATGGCATGATCTCGGCTCACTGCAACCTCTGTCTTCCCAATTGAAGTGATTCCCCTGCCTTAGCCTCCTGAGAGCTGGGATTACAGGTGTGCGCCACCATGCCCAGCTAATTTTTTGTATCTTTAGTATAACACCTGATCTCTAACTCCTGACCTCATGATCCACCCATCTCAGCCTCCCAAAGTGTTGGAATTCCAGGCGTGAGCCACCATGCACGGCCATTAAGTCTTATATTAAAGGGAGATTTCCTCCAGGGAAAGGAGGGCAAATGAGGATGGGGTCCCAGGAGTCAGGGCCAAGGTTAGTGCTGGCCTGAAGTATAGCTTTCTCCAGCGATGGCCAATATCAGCATGATCCAGCCCTGCCCCCAGGCTGGTTTCCACCTGACACAGCCAGCCTTCTGTCACAGTACAGTCCTTCATTCTCAAAAACGTAAACTGGCCGAGGGGGGTCACGCCTGTAATCCCAGCACTTGGGAAGGCTGAGGCAGGAGGATCACTTGAGCCCAGCCCAGGAGTTCAAGACCAGCCTGGGCAACATGGTGAGACTCCACCTGTATTTTTAAAAAAGGGGAGGCCGGAGGGGTGTATGGGGGGATGATGTGAAGAGAAGATCTATTTCCCTCTGCAGGAGAAGCAGTCCTAGGCGGGAATCCTGCCACAGACCCGCATGAACGCCACCTGCCACCCACCTGCACCCAGGGAGAGGCTGTTTAGTCCACACCAGGCTTTCTCCAGGGTCTGTGGAAACCTGAGCCTTGGGCAGCAAGTGGCATCTGGCCTCAGTGCCCCCACCCCTGCAACACAAAAAGAGGCCTTAATCTCTTGAGGCTGGTGAGGCCCCAACTCCACCCCTCCCCCAGGACAGGTCCTCAGCACTGTCTGTGCCTCCTGCCCCGCTGGTCTGCTGCTGGTCTGTTCAGCCTCTGGGAATCTCTTCCCTGGCTC